AGCTTGCATGTCTACTGACTTAGAGGGTTTAAAATGCTCATAATTATAGAGCCACAATCTCTGCCACTATTCCAGAAAAATAAAATACCTCTGAAATGATCTAGAAACACATTTTCAAGTTTTAAGGTCATGCTTACATAATTCCAGAATGCCTGACTTAAAAGTGAAAAAGCTGTTAGCAGGCTTTCATGCCTTCCTGCATCCACTCTGAGCCTTGAGTCTTTTAAGTGAATTGACCTTTTGGTTTGGTGTTGGATAAATGGTCTAAATCAGCTATGTGCCTATACCTTGCAGCACTGGCCCTGTGGGAAAGTGGATCTAATGGGAACCTCACTCTCATATCTCAGAGTGATTTTATGGGGGAGAAAAGCAGTATGAAAATGGAATGATATTTCAAGCAGAATAAATAGAACAGGGCCTGTGCCTGGACGCACAACTGACTCACACACAGAGCCATGGGAAAACACTCATCCTTTTTATGCCTCAATTTTCTGTCAATCTTCTCTCAAGGAGACCATGAAGACAAGTAATATAAAGTCTGTGATATTCTTAGAGTTTCATGAGACATAAATATTTATTTCTGTTTTCATGGCTATAAACATTTTTTAAAGTAAAATAAAAAGTAACTGCATATCTTAGACAAATTCAAATTTCCAACAAATTGATACTGTAGTGTATTGGCACACAGAGAGATCAAAATAACACATGTATGGGTTTGTTTGCCAAATAGAGGAATTGTTCAAGGGGTTCTCAGCATTCGTACTTCCTCCGGCTGCAAATATCTCAGTTTGGTGCTTGTTTTGTTGCAATTATTGCCTTATGAGTATTTCTCCTTTTCATCCAAGGGTGTATTAAGAACAGACTGTGTCCTGTTCATGTTTGTAACCATTATCTCACATAATCTAGCACATACTTAGGACTTTAGAAACACTGAAGGAACAGAGGAATGAAAAACGAAGGACCACTCAGGCCGTCACCCACACCAACCCATGTAGAACTCTGTGCCAAGAAGTTTCAAAGTGCTTGAGATCAAAGTGGTAAACAGGACCGAAAATGTTCCTGCCCTTGTGGAGCTTACAGTCTATCATGTACCTGGTCTATCAGACCATACATAATGGAATATCAGGTAGTAACAAATGCTCTGAAGACACACTAATTTGGACAAGGGGCTAGAGAGTGCTAAAGGGCTGATATTTAACATCCTGACTGCAGAAAGTCTCTCGGAAGAGTATGGAAGGGAACTTAAGGTATGATTTTCTCCTTCTATGGATCTCTAGGATATGATAGGTGTGCTGTGCTAAGAATTGAATATCCATTTAAAGTATAACTGTACATGCAATTCAGATAGAAGACTATAAAAGAAAAACATGGATGGATCCTTACTTATCAGCCCCTAGGATGTCCTTCAGAGAGAAGGAAAATAGCTGCCTCTTCACAGATGACGAAGCAACCAGATACTAATGTTCCTTGTGCTCCATCAAGATGGCCACGCTGGCAGTGAGGATGCAACGGGCTCCACAAGACATGTTTATAAAATGAACATTCATAGAACCCATTTAAATACAATACTGAAAAATATTTTCACTCACCTCTACCCCAATTCATGCACTTCTTGAGATGTTAAGGCTTTCTCTCAAAAAAAGAGCCCTCCAGCATCTGTCACTTAACAACAGTCATAAATTTAACATTACTGTTTTTCTGTTGATACTACTATAGCTATTGAAATACAAATATCAGAATTCTTATGAAACTTGCTCATTAATGCTGAGCCAAGCTAAAAAGCCTTTGACGTATCTTCAGTTTCTTCTCAACCCTAGTTTATTGTATAATAATTGCTCAGCTCTTAATGTGACTTCATTATGTGACCTCAGGTATCCTCTTTATGACACTGGACGTGTTAATTAACCAAGTAGATTCCAAATTATTGTAACATTTTCTATATTGGGACAAAAAGTTGTTGGCTCCTCTATAAGGATTATAACTATTTGTTGAGATTTTTGTAGGTGTAAAATTCTCATTCTATTGTGTTATATTTTAAAATTCTTGTTTTTCCAAGTGATCATTCTTTTCTCAGAGTTAATCCCAAGTTATATGTTTGGGAAGATGGATAAATCTCTAAGACCCCAGAAACTACTATTTTAGGCCACATAAATGATACTGAAGTTAACTTATTAAACAAACCATATACACAACCATTCATTCTACTTAATACCAACTAACTAACCCAATTAATAGCTTATATGCTCTTTTGAACTGAAGCTTCATACATACAAATAGTAAAGCAGAATTTGGGACAATGACAATCAATCAATGAGGGCTTAGGAAAAGGTGGGAAATTAGTAAACCCAGTTGTTTATCCAACAAAAATTAACTCTGTAGATTCATGTCCATAAACTCCTGGACAACTGTATCTGGAAGGAATGAGAGGTTATGTAGTGCGCCCATCTTATTTTAAGTTGATAAAACCAGAGCCCAGAGAGGTTAATGAGCTTGCCTGAGGTGTCAGGACCAGTAAGTTGCAGATCAGGAACTAGCATTAGAGCCCACTCTCTGCTCTGTGTGGTTAGCACAGTGCAGGCCAAGTTCTTGTGTTTGGAGAGGGAGAAAAGGCTCATTAGGATTCTTTTTCTAGAATGTACTTAGCATCACTAAAAATCCATTCTGACTTAGAGTAGAGCCTTCCATCACTCAGCCCAAAAACATTTATTTTATGACACTTTCTATCTCTTATGATTTTACCTATATTGTGTTTAACAAAGTTGGATTACTGAGTCTCATCCTATAAAGCAGAAATAGTTAACCTGGTGTGCTGGAGACAAGCTGTGCAGGGAATGACTAAAGTATGTCACACGGTGCTGCTCTGCATGAAAGCTCAGTCCTGAGAAAGAAAGACTTCAGCATCTAAGAAAAATAAATCTTACTGTTATTATGAGAGAATTTTTTTTACTCCTATAATATTTATTTTTGTCCTTTATATTAAAGTCCCTGATACTTTATAGAAAAATCTGAAAATATATATTTGAATGAGTTGGTTCTAAATATCTAAGTATGTGATTCAGTCCATGTATTTTCATGTTTCATCTGCTCCCTGACTCATGGTATAACCTTTAGCAGATGATTTTTCTATGCCTCAGTTTCTTCAATGACAAAGCAGAATTGGTAATAATAATTCTGTCTTCCTTTTACTGATATTTTGTTAGAATGTCTTAAAAGAAAGTGCTTTTAAAATTGTTCTACTTGTAGATCACTAGTAATGGCCCTTATTAATCATCTTCATTGTACAAGCATTAAGTAAATGGTACTGAAGAAATCATCTTGGCATTTAAAGTATGAAAATTAGGTTAACAAAAGAATGTGTTCCATCAGACTTTGCTGTTCTAATCAGGCAAAGTACATTATAACTCTTGATTTGAAATGTTTAAAAGTGAAAAACAAAAAACTACCTTCCCTGCTCTCTCCTGCTGGGTGGTTTCTTTCTATGGTAACTATACCTGAAGCAGGAAGAAGGCACAGGCACAGGGAGTCGGCTCTAAATGTAGTAGTAACCAGCGCTTATGAGGATGAAGTTATTGATCACCATCTTTAACACCTGATTGCATCATTTTTCTAAGATCAGGGACGTATTTTCCTGAATTTGACTACATTTTCTAACTAAAACCCATTATGGCCAAGGGCAAACATTTACAAGATATTCTGATGGGTTCACTTTTTGGCTCTGGAGCAAGAAAATGCCAAAATCCCTGGCTTCAACTGATTTTAGCCCATGAGTCTATCCAACCAAACTAAGTGGACACACAGGGGCACTTGCCAGAAATTTAGATTAATTTTTTTCCTGGTAGATATACATGACTACTTGGTTTCTTGATAACTAATTAGAAACATTTAATATATCTTCTGTTAGCTTGAATTATAGCATAAGCCCTTAGAAAATCTGGTTCAACTGGGGAAATGCCCTTCTATATTGTTCCTTGCTTTGTCATTTTGAGGCTATGTCTGCCCAGGGAAAACCATCCAGAGGTTAATTGAAAAATCTAAACAATATTTCACATCTCCAGCTACATATTAATCTGCTTATATGGAGATCAGAAAACCAAACAACTGAGAATAACCGAGAATTCCTTTACTCACCAAAATTGCTATCCCTCCATAACCCTTCCCCCTTTTTGCCATGAATTAAGCAAATACCTCTCTTTACGGGTAATGATTACGTCAACCAAGAAGAAAGCAGAGTCCCAAATAACCTATCCAGAATATAGTTTCATTTAATAATTCTCTGAATTCTTATTCATAATAGACACTTTATGGAAAATAACTAAAGGCTCATTCTACTCTCTACATTACACTTTAGCATCCCACATAGACAGATGTAACCACAAATAATTACTGAACTACCTGATGTTAGAGTTTGTGAGGTGTAAACTATTGTCTAAGTCATTTGTGATTAATTAAGCATGATGCGTAGGTTGCTGAACAGCTTTTTTAATAAAGCTTCTGTATAACTTGACAGTTAAAATGTTAGAGCAAGATGCATTAGACCCAAAGGCAGGATTTCAAACTGCAAAGAATAGTAACACCATGTAGTTTCCACAAGGGAACATGGTTAAGCATCTGAAAGGACAGCCCAACACAAGTTCCATCTGTAGAAAGTGAGTGCCTGCCTAATTCTTTACATGTAAAGACTATTGGATTCCAAGAGATTAAAGATTACAGTGGTACCTCGGTTTTCTAATGTCTCGTGGACGAACATTTTGGGTTACGAACGCCGTAGACCTGGAAGGAAATGCTTCAGTTTTCGAACACGCCTCTGAAGTCGAACATGCCCCCCACCTTCTGCTGAGGGCAAGATCCTGGGGCCCGGCTGTTAGCTGTTGATCCCTCGGTTTTCGAATGTTTCAGAACTCAAACTGTCTTCCGGAGCAGATTACATTAAAAAACCGAGGTACCATTGTACTTGTCAAGACAATGAAAATGCCAGCTTCTTTGTTGCCATTTCTTATGTGCTTCTTGCATAAATTTTTGCATAATTTAAGTGAGCTCTGCTGTTGAGTCTGGTTTTACTTATGGAGAACCAGTTCTAATCATTGTGTATTTAGGGAAAGTTTGTATTAAGCTTACAAGAAAGGCAGGTCTTGAAAAGTGTCCCTTCTCTTAAGGAAAGAGCATTGTACAAGTAAGCTGACATTACTCAGCCTGGTTCTCATCTTTAACATGCCCCTGATCCTAAGGCCTGGGCCCCGGGCTGATGCACATGCATGTTGTCGTTGCAGCTGAGAAGGATGAGTTCTTGCAGCAACATCTGTGGGTCCAGGCAGGCTCAGGCTGCTGCCGAGGGTGGGTACCAGCGCTACGGAGTCCGGTCTTACCTGCACCAGTTTTATGAGGACTGCACCACCTCGATCTGGGAGTATGAGGATGATTTCCAGATCCAGAGATCACCTAACAGGTGGAGCTCAGTATTCTGGAAGGTAAGTCAAGAGCGTGTGGTTAACTTGAGAAATGGAACAGTTATTGGCTATGGTAAGTACCCTAGCTGCAGAGAACTGTGAGGTTAGGAGTTCTGTGTGCATCCCTGCTGGTGATATCAAATGCAGCAAGGAGAATATAAACCTTGAGCTGAAGAAAGCCTCTAAACGGCATTATTGTTCATTTTCTGGTTAAACATAGATGCAATTGCCCTCAATTATTATTATTTTTGCTACTGTTATTAATGTGCTACAAAATTCACAAACTGTGAAGCCATCTGTAGGCAAAATACTATATGCTCCCAGCATCCCTTACAATTTTGGTAACTATAACATTCGACAAATTATAACAATTATTTATAAGAAATAACTGGGTATTTAGAGAAGGTTAATGTTGAGACATAATAAAGTGGTCCGTGTTCCAACACTAACTCTACCAGACATGTGATCACATGGCTCTCTAAGTATCAGTTTCCTCAAATGAAAGAGCCTCATTAGACAGTGTGTTCAGTTATTCAACATATAATTAGTGAGCACCTATTCTGTGCCAAAAAGTTGCCAAATGCTAGGTTTTAAAGTGGTGAACAGGAGAGGAAAAAGCCCTCGCCCTCATGGAACTTACCATCTATCATGGTAAACAGACCATAAACAAATAAAGCACATAATAGAATGTCAGGTAGTGACAAGTGCAGTGAAGAGCAATGAGTCAGGGTAAGAAGACAGGAGTGATGGGGGACTGGTATTTAGGTATGCTGATCATAGAAAAGTTTTCAGAGGAGATATTTGAGCAACTATGAAGATGAGCTGAGCATGCAGACCATAAAATTACCTAGCTGAAGGTCGTTGCAGGCTGGGAAAATAGCAAATCTGAAAGCTCTGAAATGGGAACAAGTTTGATGTGTTTGAAAAAAATAGCAAGAGGTGCAATCTGATTGGAGTAGAATGAAGGGGGAAAAGGAAAGGCGATGAATTCAGAAAAATAACGGCACAGATGACATATGTAGAGCCTTATAGATGACCGTGAGGACTTTGGCTTTTACCTTGAAAGACATGAGAAGTTATGTGAGCATTTTATGCAGAAAAACGACATGGTCCAATTAATGTTTTAACAGGATAATTCTGGCTACTGTACAGAAAATAGGCTATAGAAGGAAAAGGGTAGAAGCAGCTAGATTATTTAGGAGGCTATTAAAGTACCCCAGCAAGAGATAATGGTGGCTTAAATTAAGGTGATGTTAGTGGAGATGGTGACAAGTACTCAAATTTGGCATAAAGTTTGAAGGCTAAGCTATCAGGACATGCTGATGAATTAGATATGAGACAAAGTGGAGTCAAGCATGACTCCAGGGCTTGCAACCTGAGCTATTTAGTGAATGGTGTTATCATTCACTGGGGTGGAGAACACAAGGAGAGCAGTGGGACGGGTGGGGAACAAAGAATTTGATTCTGGTTATGTTGTTATATTGGTGATGACTATCAGACATGCAAATGGAAATCTCAAGTGGGAATTTAAATATACTGATGTGCAGCTCATGGATTGGGAGTCATGTAGTAGTATGTAGAATGTATTTAAAGCACTAGTCTAGATGAGATCACCTAGGAAGATGGTAGGGACATAGAAGAGAAGGGTCATGGAGACATTCCAACATTTAGAAATCAAGAAAAGGCTGAGGATTCAGGAAGGGATGCTGAGAAAATGCAGCCTTGGATGGTGTCTCTGGTCCCCTCCAGCTCTAACATTCTGTGCCTCAGGGGCTTCTAATCATCCAGACTTTCTGCAAAAAAAAATCTCAAAATTTTTGACATTGACATAAACTTGTGATTTATTGGCAATAGTGTAACAAGAAACAATGCAGCATCAGGATTATGAACATGGACTCTGTTCTCAGACTGCATGAGTCAAATCTCAGCTCTTCCATTGACTAGCTCTGCAATTTTGAGCAAGTAATAGACCTTAATGGAACTCTTATAGTGTTACTTATAGTACTAACCACATAAAGTTGTGAGAATTAATAAGATAATATTTACAAAGTGCTTAGAACAATGTCTGGTATGCACTCAATAAGCATTCAATATAGTAGTTACTATTACCAGATGCCGTATGGAACATTAAGTCCTGAAATGGAAATAAAACTGGAAATCTAGTTAATAAACAAAGTATTGGATAACACAGTTGTTAACATAGATTACCCATGACCCGTGTTAATTCAAAATCTCACCAGTGTCACGTGCTCTGTATTAGAATTGGTCAAGCTATTGTCCTTGCCTGTCACCTCTGATGATTCCTTACTGGCCTGGACCAATGAAATAAATAGCCAAGCTTGGCACATATTGTATTTATCCACATAAGTGGGAGGTTGCTTCAGTATGTGTCAAAAAACAAATATTTGCCTCCCAGATCTGTTGTGCCAAGAGCCTAAAATGCCACTGCAGTACAGAATATTGTCAGCATTTGTCTGGATCCAAAGCGCTGGTGATCGTGATTTGTGATGCTATAAATTCATCAAATAATATAAAAGTATGGATTTAAAATAAAGAACTCACAGTAAATTACCAACCACAGAATTCAGATTTCAATGTTTTCTCCCTTTTATTTTACACAAACAAGATCCAAAAGTATTTGCTCCTGCTGTGCTAGGCCTACAGCAGAGAAGAAAAACAGGAAAATCCATGGCCTCATAGAGATTATATTCCAGCAAAATCAAAATCTTAGGCTCCTATTCCAATCATTAACACCAGACTGAGCATTCAGAACTCCATAGTCAGCCTGAACAACCTAAGCATCACTGTCTTAGAGACCCCACCTCTACCAAGGAAATAAACCAACCGCTTGTGGCTTTCCTCCTCGGGAATTTAACTGACTTCACTCCAGTAGGTTTATGAAGTGCTCTCTCCCAAATACAGAGAAAGGCACTGATTATGCACATGTTTCTAACATGATTCTTTTTTTAAAATATATTTTTATTGATTCAGAGAGAGGAAGGGAGAGGGAGAGAGAAACATCAGCGATGAGAGAGAATCATTGATCGGCTGCCTCCTGCAACCCCCCCACTGGGGATCAAGCCTGCAACCTGTGCATGTGCCCTGACCAGGAATCGAATCCTGACCCCCAGGTCCATAGGCCGATGCTCAAGCACTGAGCCATGCAGGCCGGGCTGATTCCTTTTTATATATATTTTTTCTTTCATTTCAAATTGCATCTGTAGGTGGTTCAAGCTGTGGGCTATCCCTTCCCCCTCTTCCACAACAGGGTTGCCGTGGTCATGTTGGTATCTCCCTGGGGACTCTGCCCTCAAGCCAGCTCCCCAGCAGTGGGAAGCATGAAGGGGGTTAATGAGAATGGAGATTGTAATCAAATGGGCCTGAGACATAATCTTTGCTCTGTGACATGGATCTACATAACATCTGTCTTACAGTGCTATTCCTTCTACAAATGTTTACGTGTCCACTGTGCACAAGAATATGTGGTAGACTCTGGGATTCGATTGTGAATCAGATTCTATTCTTCACCTGTGAGTAAGATACAGCCTTTACTCCAAGGAGTTAACAAGTAGAAAAAGCAGACATGTACACGGATTGTTACAATCCTACGTGATAAACATTCCCCTAAAAGTAGTCAAAGTAGTTACTGGAAGCAAAGGGAGAGGAGAATCGGATGCAGTCTGAGGAAGAAAGAGCTCCACAGAAGAGGTCCCCTGTGAGTAAGCGGAGACAGGACACCCGGTAGAAAGAAAGCATCACAAAAACTGAGTCGTGAGAGAAGACGGCATGTTCAGGAGACTGAGAATAGTTCAGCATTGCTGGGGTAGAAGTTCAGAAGTTGGAGGGAAGGGGTCAGGAGATGAACGTTGGACTGCATATAAGAGCCAGATCACAGATGAATTTGGAAATCTGTGAAACAGAATTTTCTCTAGAACCTTCCCTTTTTTGAGTACAGTGAGGAGGCAATATAATAATCAGTTTAAACTTTCTTGGGGAGCTTGTCTCACATACAGGTGTAAACACAAACACACACACTCAAGTATTACACACATTCTCTGTGCCTTGGGTTCTAGATTACCACATGGCTGCCTCAGCCACCACTAATGTATCCTGCCTGCAACTGCTGCCACATGCAAAAATCTATGTGACGTGGTCCCACTCACCCCTGCCACCCTGTGCTGCTGCCAAGACAGAATGTTTCTTATCCTTGCACTAGACTTCACTAAGGCTGTTGCCACTTGTTGTGCAGCAAACAGCGTCAGGATGGCAGGTGTGAACTGATGAGAGCAGTCCTCTCACTCCCAGTCACACCTTCCTCACCTCAGAGTTACCCTCCTTCTTACCGTCTTCTCCTCCACCGATAAGCGAAACCACTCTAAGGGTGTCCAACAGCCTTGTGCACGTACAAGGCAAGCGCCCCCCCGATAGCCTTGCTAAAAGTGAAAGTGACCCTGGTCCCTCTCTTTTCTCTCAAGACAATCCTATCTGTCCACATGTCTCCAGGTTTCCCCCTAAGCTAAGTCAGAGTTTAAACTTACATCTTAGATTTCAAAGTTTTGCTAGATATTAAGGAGATGGTTTCATACTAGAAATGAGAGGAGCTATGGAAGCCTCTTAGAGAGAATCCATGTGGTGTTCGTTGTGCTTTTTAATGTTTTCTCAGGTGGCACTTGGAGAATGTATAAAGAAAGGTAAGACCGGCAATGAAGACCGTAAAAACGCTATTGTGATGGTCAGAGCGAGGTATAATAGTGGTCTGTGCCGTTAGAGTAGCCATGGTGACAGAGAGGAGAGACAAGATTCGAGAAAGCTTTATGGCGTAGAATCAATAAGACTTAATGAGCTATTGACTATGAATATGAGGCAAGAGTCAGGGAATGGGTGGCTAGCAGGAACACAGAAAGGAAAAATGGAAGGGAAGGAAGGAAGCAAAGGGTACCAGTTGGAATATTTGTGTTTGATGAGCCTTTGGGACATCCTGTCGTCCTCCCCACCCAGTGCTCCCAGTAACTACTATGACT